CAGTTAATAGCTGCTCTCATAAATAGGATATGGGCTACTTAGATTGATAATTTATCACAGAATCAGTTTTGGGTAAATAATTTTTATTTTTCCTCCCCTGCCTCCCAGATCTTCATTGAAAGAACAAGCAATAACAAACACTTGAACACTATCAATATCCGACACATTGCTAATTCTATTCGAACTCATGGAACAGGAATCATGAACACAACAGTGAGTATCTTTTGTACTGTTGTTGATTGATTGTTTTTTTTAAATAGTGCACAAAAGCCTCCAAACTCTTGCATCTCCTAGTGGTCTGTTTGGTTGTGCAGTTTTAATAATGTAATAATAATATTCTGCATGTATTAAAAAAAACCAGTTCTTGGACATAGCACTGTCACTGTTTAAGTCTGGGCTGGCACTTAAAGCAGGTAACAGATGCTATCTATTAACCTGTTCCTTTGTGTTAAATCGGTATCACAATCCCTTGGGAGTTATGCCACTTCCAGTTGTTACATCAAAGTTAATGAAGACATCTCAAAACACATCAAAGAAGATAGAGATGTTCTGGTGGGACTCTGAATTTCAGTAAAGATAAATAACACATACCAGACTAGCATAGTAAAATATTTTGATTTCTAAGCTGCCTGCATAAATATGCATGCTCTAAGTTTCTTCTTATGAACACATAGAAGGTAGGTACTTTTGCTGCAGTTAAAGCAAATCTTGAAGAAATGCAATGTTAATTTTTTTAAGTTCCTCTTGTAATCGTTACGCTTAAACATCAGCTTTTCGATTTGAGAAGTAAAAGCTACAGATCTCTGATCATTTATTGAAAGAATGCAACTTCTTACTGCAGTGCTTTTAATGATGTCTGTACTGTAGGTGGTCATTTTAACCACCTGAAGGCATTTACCTCTTTGCATGGTAGATAAGGGCACTTCCTGTGGCATGCCTACTGCAGCAGGACTTTATCATTGTGGTTCTCAAGTTAAAGTGGAAATGATTAGAAAAATAAGGTTTTCATGATTTCTTGTACTATTCTTCTGAGAGTGGGGACTTCAGTTACTTAAAAAAATGCTGTTACATTATTTCCTGGTGATGTAGATTTATTCATTTCTGAATGTGAGTAAAGTTATTTATGCAGACATGAGAAGTAATTGAGATGTGTAGGATGGAAGTGTGCTTCTGCCTTACGGGAAAGTGTTTTAGAAAACTGAGGGAGTGAAAAGATGTGTCGGGTTATGCTGATTCCAGAACTGGACTGAGAAAGTTGAGGTTGTCTGCCCTTTTCAACTTGAAATGTTTGTATTGCTTTAAGAGGACAGTTACAAGATATTCCATACATAACCTGCCCTACACAGCCATTAGTTTATTGAACTGAAATCACTAACTTGTCCCTTGGTCCCCCTACCCTTCCTGGGAAGAGTAGGCCTTCCAGAAGAAGGGTTTGTTTTCTTTTTTTAAACCAGTGAAATCAAAAATATAAGTTGAGAATAACAAATGGAAGTAAACTGAGTAGAAGGTTCCATATAAATACAAGTTACTAGGAATCTACTGAAAACGGGTTGCTAGAGATGCTTGTTACTTTGCTAACTTTCTTGATTTGACTTTTTTTCCTATAGGTAAACTTCACTTACCAATTTCTGAGGAAAAAGTTTTATATTTTTAGCCAGTTCATGTATGATGAACATATCAAATCCAGACTTATCAAAGACATCAGATTCTTCAGGGAAGTCAAGGATCAAAATGATCACAAGGTATAGTAATTTTTGAAGGATTTAGAGTAACTTGGCTAAAAGAAGCGCTATTTTCATGTGACTGAAGGGGCACCAAACCATAACATTCCTATTATTTAAATGTGTATCTCCAGACAAAGTGACAGCTTTTGTCCTAGCAAAATGCAGTGCTACAAATGTCTGTATTCAGGATGGCTTTGTTTCATTCTGGCTGCTCTGTAAATATGAGGTTGTCTAAAATCATTCTCTTGGTGATCTGAAAATGATGATTTGATGGAGTCATAGTCTACTGGAGATTCTCAAATCATGCTTAACAGTTGTCAGTTTTAAATAATAAGATTATTCAAAATGAATCTGAAATGGTGTGAATATGTATCGCTTATTCCAGCATGTCAGGATTTGGGGACCAGGATCTGATTTTCCATGCTGGAAAACTGATTTCTCAAAAATGTGGGAGATAATGTATTTAGTAAAACAGATTCCCAGCTTCTTCGTATGTCAGGTGCTTATTTGTTTTGGGAATAGTTCCTTGTTCACAGTAACACTTCTGTTTCACTTCTTAACTTGCAGAAGTGACCTAGCCAAATTACTTTTGTGAACTAGTAGACAGGCAGGCCTATAGTTTACAAAAAAAAAAGCTGTAGATGTGAGGTAGGAATACATTGCAAATAGAATTGTATTGACATGGTGAAAAAATATTTTAAGGGTAGGTAATTATTTTTACAAATTATTCTAAAATATTTTTCTAGTATCCCTTTGAAAGAGCAGATAAATTCAACCGTGGCATCAGAAAACTTGGAATAACCCCGGATGGCCAGAGCTATCTTGACCAGTTCAGACAACTCATAAGTCAAATTGGTATGAAATGCTATCTAAGACAATGTTATTAATGTTACATAAATGTTATTTAACATTATAAATAAATATATTTAACATGTAAATATATATAAATGTTATTAAATGGAAGAGATCTTCATCATCTAGTAACTGAACTTTTAGCTCAGGCTAAAACTCGATTTAACTCCAGTTGGATAGAAAGTACTTCACTTATACCCCATGTGAAATAATCTCATGGAATTACACAGAAATAGCCTTTGTATGTCTTAATCTAAAATATAGCTACAGCTTGCATAGATGCGTGTTCCCCTTTAAGTTCTTTATGTTATGGAACTGAGTTTTGTCCAGATTGAGTGTATTTCCCAATAAAAAAAATAGTTCATGTATTTCAGAAAATGGCCATATATCCAACTGAAATAACTTTGAGTGATGCATGACATTTCAATGTTGTTTTCAGCCGTTGATGCTGTAGATGTGCAGGACTGATCGGAACTTGCTAGTGGTTAATGTGCCCAGTGGAAAGATTTTGTGCTATTTGGCCCTTGTGCAATCACAAAAGTGGGCACAACCTTGCGAGATGATGCATTTGTGTTTTATTTCTGTATGTAGACTTTTGATACCAGGGTTCAGTGTAACTTCTTTAACTTGGCTTTCAGAACAGTTTCTTTGCCAGAACTATATGGCAACTTGAATTTACATTTCAGAGCTTATAGGAGTTATGAAGAGTGTGTGTGTATTTAAGTAATTATAAATTATTTTCTTGTTTTTTCTTGTCTTTAAAGGCAACGCTATGGGTTATGTACGAATGATAAGATCTGGTGGACTTCACTGCTGTAGTAGTGCAATTAGGTACTTCCACAAATATTTCATTTTTCTGTTTGCTCCTTTCCATTCCTTTGCTCCCTACTCATGCCGATATTCCCTAGGTTGTTACTCATCCCCCATAAATTTTAAAAAGGTCCGATTTTATGCCTTCATTGAAGTGGAATAATCAAAAACAGTGCTGGAATTCAGAACTGTACATTCATTGACATAAACCACTAGAAATCAAACAAATTCTATGGAAAACCACTGCAAAAGACTTAATAGAATGTACATGTAAGTCATTAGTCCTTCATTAAGTCAGTAATTCCTGATGTTAATCACTTTGAGGGTGTATTAAGGAAAAATAGTACAAGCCTTGAGAAACTTGGAAAAAACATTTCTTTGATACTTCTTTCTGTATTTGATTATCTGTGTTTATAAAAGGTCATTAAAACATAGTGACTTTTACATGCAAAGCAATAGTTGGTTTTCTTGCAAGTAATAGTAAATTTGCAGTTATCAAAGGCAGCAAGTGCTAGAGAGAGGAGATGGTAGCCTGCTAAAAGCAGAAGTACAAATAATCCTGTGTGTATCTAGAAGTGAATTTAATAGTGCCTGGATGAGAACGGTATGGCAGATATGGTATAACTTCAAGTTAGTAGTTTGAGCCCAGAAGACTGAATTAACTAACTTATAAATTAAGGTAGATACTTCAGTGAACACAGACAGTTGAGCATAATCCTAACAAACAGTAAGTTTTCAGGTTTGTTCCTGATCTGGAAGATATTGTTAACTTTGAAGAGCTGGTGAAAGAAGAAGGCCTTTCAGAAGAAACACAAAAAGCAGCAAGGTACCCTAACATTATGCTTTTGAGGTCGATGGCGGGGATGGGATGAGAGAATTGTAATTAATTGTGTGTTAAAAGTTCAGCTGACTTAATGCAAAAATATTTGCTGCTCTTTAGAGAAAATAGAAGCAGTTGTTTTAAAAATGTGAAGGGGCATTTGTACTAATAGACTGTTAGAACCTGGTTTCTTGATAAAATCCTTGTGGTTTAAAGGCTAACAAGCTTTCTTCACCAGGTGTCTGACAACTATTTTTAGAACGTTCGGGGTGTTAGGAAAAACAGATGCAAGTATTCTGTTCATAGAACTTTTTTGAGAAAGTTAAATCAAGAAATATGATTCAAGGTGGCTGTAGAAGTAGGGTGTAATTTTGAACACGCTGGTCCAAATACTGGATTATGGGTATAGCCAAAGGGTGAAGAGAAAGTTTGTATTACCCCAAGGGGTGAGTAAGCAAGGAAACTTCTAGCAGAAACCGGGTAACACATTGCTTATCCTTTGCAGGCAGTTAGACTCTGTCCTCGGTGACCTCACACGTAACTTTGCAGAAGGAACGGAGTACTTCAAAATGCTTGTGGATGTATTTGCTCCTGAATTCCGCAGTCCAAAGAATATGCATTTGCGGAACTTCTATATAATTGTTCCCCCGCTGGTTAGTATTTGCATTTTGTGTACCAGTACTTATTTTAAAAAAAGTATCAGATCAGACTTGTGTTTAAATATTTTGTATTAGGCTGTTGACTAGCATATTCTCCTTTCTTTCCTGGTTATGAATGGGATTGTTGTGAGTGTGGCTTTGTTGATAGTTGTCCAAAGCCATGTTTTTCTTTATTTACATCAATTCATGTACTAGCACTCAAAAGGTAACTTAAAAACTTCTTCTCTTGTTTGAATCAAATTTGGAGAAGCCAAGATGAAAAAGGACAAATTGGAACAGCAGGGATGAAGGGAATTTAAAACCGTTTTTCACCTCTCGTGTGTGTGTGTGCTTTCTGCATCACATTAGGTATCTTCAGGCTCTTTTGATGTCATGTTCTAATGCAGTAAAATTGAGGCTGTCTATTGCAATTGGACCTGCTTTTGCTAATAAGCTTTGTTTAGAAAGAGTCCAACTGAATTGAGGTGATGCACACTTGAGTGCAGGATTCTGAGTATTTGGAAGCAGTTCAGTTTAAAGACTTAAATGATCTAAACAGATTCATGTGTAACATCCCAGTTTAGAAACTAGTTTTGGACTGTCAGTGAGCCATAGACTTAAGACTGTGAGATGACAAGTGTGTCATGGTGATAAAAGTGAGGGGAAAAAAGGCTCATGACAAATACTTTTGTTCTTTTTCCTTCCCATTTGTGGAGTCTTTTCTCATAAATACAGTTTCAGGAATATACCATCCATTTTAGTTTTAAAAAGGCATTTCAGTGTAGTTAAATTTGAAACTATCATAGGTTTTTGAGAAGTTGTTAATGTACACACATTTCTGTGTCTCAAGAGTAGTTATTGCATACAAACACATACCCATCACTCGATAACCACTACCTGGATCTATTGTTCAACATCATCGTAAATGTAAGACTACTGAAATATTTTTACTGTTTTCTAAACAGAGTGAAATAACATCCTGTAGCTTTAAAACACTAATATCTTTAAATTTTCCAGAAACCTGCGCTATTTTACTTATCCTTTACTTGTTTACATCATTACCTCTAGTAATCACTAAAAGAATGTGATATAATAGTCTGACAGGAACAGCGAAGATGTAGAGGTACCTTTGGGTTTTTTTTGCTTAGGCATATGCAAATGTGTTCCAAAGCTTAACTTACTTTCTTCCCCAAAAATGCTAGAAAAAGGACAAGTTTACATTCAAAAATGCTTAGTGATGGGGGAGACAATTAGATTAGATTTGGATGTGGAATTATATTCATAAGTTAACAGCACGTATGTGAATGCCTTTTAAAACTTGTGAGTCTCTCTTGATGATTCCAAGACAGCTTTTCACTCTTTCAGACCCTCAATTTTGTAGAGCATTCAATCAGCTGCAAAGAGAAATTGAATAAGAAGAACAAAAGTGGAGCAGCTTTCACTGATGATGGGTTTGCCATGGGTAAGTTTTCAGGACACTGACTAGCCTTTGGGTAAGCCAACATAATAGATATTTTCAAGAAAAGTTTTGTTTATATTTTGTGTGTTCCCATAATTAAAAATTCCATAATTTAAACTTGGATTGTCTTGGCTTCAGCACAGTGAATTTGAGGGCTATTGTGTTCAGAGTCTCCTAAGCATGGAATAGCTGAGTATGGGAGCAGACAGTTTTGTCATATGTTGATGCTCCCCAATTTCTTTCAAAGCTTGTGGATCTCGGTAGGTGAAAAGATATGCAAGTCTTTGGATAAGTTGTGAGGTTTTCAAAAATTGAAGCTTGTTCTTTATTATGACTTTTTCCTGTTAGATTTAAGTGTAATTTAATTGCCATTTAAATTTTGTGTGGGAGTAATCAACTTGGGCTGATCCATTAAAGACATTGACAAAACATTTTATAAATTGCATGTTGACTTTGGTATGTGATTTGTTAATGACTATAGGTGTGGCTTACATCCTGAAGCTTTTGAATCAGTACCAGGAGTTTGATTCTCTGCACTGGTTCCAGTCTGTTAGAGAGAAGTATGTGAAGGAAATAAGAGCAGTAGCTAAGCAACAGAATGTGCAGTCCACTAATCAAGATGAAAAACTACTACAAACTATGAACCTTACCCACAAGCGACTGGAAGTTTGTTTACAGGTATAGCATGGGGCTAGTTATCTATTCTGTTTTGAGTTCTGCACTTACCCATCACAGTTCAGGTATCTGTTTTCTGAGGGAGTTTATCAGGAGCCAAAAAAACAGAGCATTGCCTACAGCAACAATGCAAAAAGAGTATAAAGACTTGAGACATATGATGCGAAGGGGATGTCATGTTTGTCATATTTGAGTGAGGCAGGAACTTGACCTGGTTGATTGGAAGTCTTTGTCCCATGTGGTTAGAAATCTAATGCAACTAAAACCTAAACGCTTAAGTAGGAGAGAATAACTTTTTGGTTAAATTCTTATTACAAAGATTTTTATATAACACTGAACCCTCAGAGTTGCTTGGGTGTTGATTCTGAGCTGCTAGGTTGAATGGTGCACTAGCTGTGAAATAGAGAAAAGGTGCATTTGAATTTTGAAGCCGAGCAGTTCAGGTTTCATTGGTGGTGTAAATGTTTTCTCTCTCTGCTCTTGATTTGAGGAGGCTGTGGGACAAATCTGTAGCTAGCTATTTATAAATAGTCCGTGATTACATTCTGTAAAAGCATATCTGTTGTTGAAACAGATAAAGCCCTGTATGTCCTCATGACTCCCATGAGTGTGCACTGTGTTTGGTCCTCTGCTGTTTAAAAAAACCACATCACTGAACCTTGCCCAGAAACTAATCAAGCTTGTGGTCATTTGAATTATTGGCTTGCATGATTTTCCATGGGCAAGTTGCTCCAAATTCTCACTGGTGCTACAAACCTCATTTTCAGCCTCAGTAGATTAGTGAGAGATTTATTGCAGTGATGCTGCTTTGCTTAAATTACCCTTTAAAGTTTTTGGCTGACATTTGCTTTGTGAAATGCATGTGAACGAGGTATGAATGGAGGAGGATTTTTGAAAGCATTTTAGATATTGAAATCTAGTTGCCTCAGATGCTTCTGAAAAATGCCATTTATATCTGTATACAAGTTCATTCCTGTGATACACTGACGTTCCTCTTCTGTATCTTTTCCCTTAGGAATTTGAACTCCTTTATTTCTCACTAAGTAGTGCAAGAATTTTTTTCAGAGCAGATAAAACTGCAGCAGAAGAAAACCAGGAAAAGAAAGAAAAAGAAGGTAAGTGCTATATGTAGAGCATTTGGGCTGATGAGAGAGTGTGCCTTAGTAGGGAAGGTGCTTTTTTTTTCTTTTTTACATACCTGCTTTCTTGCTAGTGGGTTGATTCAACATCCCAGAAAGAGTTTTATGGGATCAAGGGTGACTGAGGAGTCAAGAACAGCTCACAGAGGCCTTCTTTGGAATGCATGGATTTCAGGCTGGGCTTTCGGGACAGGAAGGAAACACCAAAAAAAAAAAGCCAAAACCAACACCACAGAAAAACCAACCAACCCCTGAAAATCTGGGACAGGGAGAGTTGCATACTTGCAGTAATGTTAAATTCAGTAACTTCAGCATCATATTTACCCTCTCAGTTACCAGTGTTGACAATGACAGCCTTTTCTACACAACCTGAGCTGGTGTGAAATAAACTGGTGGTTTTTACCTGTTGTTTACCAGCTGTTTTTTCAACTTATGTCTGCAGATGATGCAGATGCTATAGGTGACTTTCAGATGTTTATGATATATTTTTAGTCTACCATTGAATTATATTCAAAGGGTAAGATCTTAATTTGGGGTATGGTCTCTTGACTAGGTTAACAAGGGTATTTTGTGGTTTATATTCATGCTTATATATTCTCCCTCATGAATTGTAGAAGATTCTCTTGGGTATAGGAAAATTCTTTTCAAAGAAATGAGAATGCTCCCAAGGATTGAGATATAGAAGTGCAGTTCAGTCACAAGTTGCTTAGAAACTCTGGTAGCAGTATATTAAAAATGGAATTGGTAAATAATTTTCCACTGTAGTTCTGATAAATGCACAAGTGGCCTGTGAAACTACAGTCACTGCAGCCAAAGATCAGTTTCCTTCTGCACTAGGAAAACAGTTTGCAAAGAAAGAAGTCTTTTAGCATGAGTTTGATCATATTCAGTGAAGTTGCTCAAATAAGTGTTCAAAACAACAACAAAAAACCACAAAAAAAAAACAAACAAAAAAACCCCCACCAAAACAAAAAAACCGAACACCCATCTACAAGCACTGTGGTGAGTAAGAACAGACATATTGCATTGGCTTCTTTATGAGAGCATTCTGTAGAACATCAGTTACTTAATTACATTTTAGGTTAAATATTCACTGTTCAGTTCCCTGAAAAATGTGTTTTGTGGTGAGAAAAACTTGAAATGCATACCAGGGTGACAAGTTTTGAACATGGTAACATATTTGCCGTCTACCATAATATTTGGACTTGTATTCTGCAAAATGTGTGAGCAGGTGTATGCAATCTTTACACAAGCTCTACTGCTTGAAGAAACCTTTCACCCCAAATACAGATTTCTTCATAGGGCCAGGACCCTTGGTGCTACAAGGTCAGTTTGCATATGCTGACCATGGTATACGGTATCAAGTGTATTATGACCTCAGCATAATATATCTGCTAAGACTTTGTTTTTACTGCCTTGAATAAAATGTTAAACATGATCCGTGTCTTTATTTTTTATTCTTGTAGAAGAATCTGTTAAAGCAAGCAACGGAGATCTTTCCAACTCTACGCCTGCAGATCCTGTTGTGAAATGATATGGCTGGTATGGGTGATGATTACTTACTCAAATCATTCATGTTCTTGTCATTATCAGTAACACTCTGTAGAGGTAAAAGCTCTAGATTTGACTTCTTGCTCTGTTAAACCCAAGAGAAAATTGTACAGTAGTATACGTATACTAGCATCCAGTGAGGCTAGGTCTGTGTCTTGTCTATATTTCCTGTAGAAACTCCTTTTTTTTAGGAGTCTACATTATTTTCAGCACTTTCTTTAGATTGAAAATAACTATATAAAATGTTGATCTTGGAGGTAGGTATTTTAAAATACAGATGTGCAGATAAAAAAAAATTTCCTAATTTTTAGATGCATTCTTGCATCTCTAACATAGCATTTAAAAAAAAAAGACTCATAGGCCATTGGTCTAAGATTTGAACTGGTCCATCTCATCAAGCAGAAAAAGAAATTTAATCAAGATATTGTCTGTATCTGTTGTCCAAAAAATAATTCAGACATGTTTTTATGCAGTTCTGTTGTATTTAATGCAGTCACAGATTACACTGTAGGTGTAACAGTGTATGTTGTGAATGTTTAAAGCTATGACACAAAACGGAAATACTTATTAATGTTTTATTCCACAAACCCTTATTATTACTATAGATAGTATTTGCACTGTGGGAACTTAGGATCCTGTCAGGCATTGATTTTCCCCTGCTGTTTTTTTCCCCCCATATCAGAGAATGCAAAAACCAGAAAAGTTAATAGTAAATTACTTTTCATTTCATACCAAAGGTCTGATTTGCACCCACAGAAGTAAGGAAATCCAGAGCCAAGACAGAACCACAATCCGCTCTTC